ATATAATAATAAATAATTACTGTATGTTCACAACTAAAAAACTAAAAGATGCAAGGTCTAATTCACATGCAAGTCAAATAAATATCACATATCAAGAGTCAAAACTTAAAAATAGGTACCGTAACAACTTAAAAATAGGTACTTAGGGATGCTGCTGGTATATTAAAAAAATCATTCCAGGAATACAGTGGGTTGGCCAATAAAAGGTTTCTGAGGTTGGTTTTGAATTTTGAAAAATTCTGGTTTCGGGCTTCACATGGGAGTCTGTTAAAAAATCTTAAACTTAATAAGCTGTGTTGAACTTGACTTTTTCTTAATCTAACAAATGGCACATCAAAAAGGTTCTTAGATCTAGTGTCATGCTCATGAAAATCCTCTCTCAAATTAACATTGTCTATCTTACTTTTTTAATTTAATAGGCACACAAATACATATAAGCTAAAACATGTCATCAAGCCCTCAGATACAAAAATGGGCTTACAATGATCTGTGGACGTTGCATCAGCCAGCAGACGTACTGCTTTCTTTTGCAGTAGCAATACACATTTTACATCTGGTGCACTGCCCCATAGCCTCAAACCATATAAAATTACACTTTCAAAAAGGGATTTTTAAGCAGTTTTGACATAATCTTTAGGCACACACATTTTCAGGTTTCTGAGCAAGTATAGGATTCTAGACAGCCTACAACAAACTAGATCTATATGACTAGCCCAAGTTAGCCTACTATCCAACACAATACCTAGGACCTTAACACTCTTTACCTCGTTATTTCTCAATGAAAAAATTACTGACTCAGTTTTGTCTTCATTTAAAAGAAAGAAATTAGCCCTAAACCAGTCAGCAGCCTGATCCAATGATTGCCCCATGGCAGTTTCCAGCTTTGACAAATTTTGTTCCGTAAGTACCAGCGAGGTATCGTCAGCATAGCTGACGATCCCTGCATCAACATTACCTGTAATATCATTGACACTTAACAGAAAAAGGAGGGGCCCCAACACTGACCCCTGAGGCACTCCATGGTTCACTTCCCTTAAGGTTGACCTCATACCATTCACATGAATGATCTGCTGCCGTCCTCCCAAGTACGACCTCAGCAGCTCAATTGAGTTCTCCTTGACTCCATAGTGCTTCAACTTGATTAACAACGTGTCAAGATCGACAGTGTCAAAAGCCTTACTGAGGTCACAAAAAGTAACCCCAGTAAAGCTGTTCCCTTCAAAGCCCCCAAAAATTTTAGCTACCAGACAATCAATTGCATCAATTGTCGATAGATTACTGCGGAAACCATACTGGGAGGACGTCAACAGATTGTTGCACTCAAAATACCTGTACAATTGAGATTTCAAAACTGCCTCAAAAATCTTTGAGAAAATTGGCAAAATGGACACTGGCCTAAAAATTTGCACCCAGTCCCAGCTGTCTTTTTTGTGAATAGGCACTGTTTTAGAAATCTTTAAAAAATTTGGAAAAACACCCTGCTTGATACACATATTGATACAAAATGTCAGTGGAAAAATTATATGCAAAATGATCCTCTTAACTAATGAATTTGAAATGTTATAAAGATCCTTACTTGTAGAGTTCTTCATCCTTGATACCAACTCAAACACCTTACATAATCTAGGTAAAACTAGATTATGAGCTCGGACTCATATAAAACATATAAAACATCCGTAATTGTATTTTACGGATGTTGGACTAGTCTCTTCAAATTCAAATTGGCTGTTGGGAGAAGGAGTCACCTGTAGCATCTGTTGGGCGGATGTCGCTGCCACCCTAACTGCCTCTCTCGCTGACTGTACAGAGTTTGTGAAGAAGTCACCAAAGTCATCCGGTAGCAGTGAAGTTGACCTCGGACGACCAGGAGTCGTTTCTGCCTTGATGATGTTCCAGGCCATAGCACATTTATTTGATGAGTTTTCAATTTTTGAGGCATTAAATTCGAGTTTAGCCTGTCTCAGGTCACTTCTGTATTCTCGCTTCACGCTGCGGTACAAGTTTTTCAATTCAGGTGAATTTTCAGATCTAAGAAGGTCGTAGATCAAAAGCATCCAATTTCTCTTCTTAAGTAGAGTCTCATTTAACCATGGCAACTTTAGTTTGTTCTTCTTGCGGTATGTTGAAGGCTTGGGTTTTATGCATTTGGTAGGCACACAGTAGTCCATTGTAATTACAAAAAGGTCCAGAAAAAGAGTTTAAAATTTTCTTCTGCGTTAACAGATGTTAGCACCACCGTACTTCAGTCAATGTTGTCCAGTTGTGACACAAAATATTGTATCTCTTCTTCGCTGAACTTCTTTACCCACTTTGTAATCATTGCCTGGTTGGAGACAGATTCCATGATGTTGCAGATAAATTCTGCACATAATGCATCATGGTCACTGATAGCAATCTTTTTTACTTCCACTTTGAGGCAAGTGTCGTCTAAATCGGTAGCTATGTTGTCTAGACAAGCTTTTTGGCGGGTAGGCTCATGATTTTTACAATAAATATTAAGAGATCTCAGTAAATTCAGAAATGAAGCTGACCTCGTGTCTTGAGTAAGGATATCCACATTAAAATCTCCACCTATTACAAGGTGGTTGTCAGTTCTCAGGTTGCACAGAGAAATTACAAGTTCTTCAAAGGCAGTCAAAAATTGTTCAAGATCACCATTAGGCGAACTATAAACTCCAACAAATAAAATATTTACAAAATCTAAATGAATACATACAAATTCATGGTGAAGCTCACGGCAAAAGTTTGAAACATCAATGACCTTGAAATTGTTTGCAAGGGAGTTGGCTAAAAATAGAGCCACACCCCCATGTTTCATCTCAGTTCTACAAAAGGCACTCGCCAACGTAAAACCGCACACCTTCTTGCAAGAAATCATTTCGTTGGTTAGCCAGTGTTCAGACAAACAGAGCACCTTAAAGTCATCCAGTGACAACATAACCTCCAGTTCAGGGATTTTATTTTCCAATGATTGTACATTCAGGCACAACATACGGATGTTGGTAATTCCATTTCTTGACCCTACCACACTGGTACAGGTGCTTAAGGATTCTTGGTTCTGTGGAAAGTTCGTCCTAAAAAAGTGCTAGCATTGTTAGGCCTAGAACCACGTCGTGATGGAATAAAAGATCGCACCAGTGCACCATCTGGCCAGAAGTTAGGATTTAGTAAGTCTCTCTCACAATTTGTAGGTACGCCTACTTTGAATGAGTTGTAGGACTTGTATTTTGCTTGCAACTGAATACTGAATACACTCCACATCAGCAACACCCTTCTCAGTTAAATAGTTCAAAACTCCGTCACAAGTAATATTGGGTGAAACTCTCGACACAAATAATAGGGACCGCTGAATCGCCGACTTGAGGATTTCATTAGCACCACTCGTGCCTATTATTACATCACTTCTCTTCAGATTTTCCTTAATACCAACATTTTTTTTCACTTTTGAGGTATTTTTCACGACTTCAGAGTAAGCGGGTTCAATATTAAAATATTAAAATCAATATTAAAATAGCGGGTTAGGTAAAATATTAAACCATGTGTTGTGTGTTTATATTCAACTAACAACATCATAATATCAAAATAAAAATCCGTCCATTATTAATGGAGGAGTAGTGTTTCGTAGAAATCGCCTTCACGTATTATATATATACTGATGATTCTATTTTACTTGATGAAAAATTTGTTATTTTCTAAGGGTAACAACAATCTACTTTGTTGCAACTTTTTTCAAGTAATCTTGTTTCCATTCGACATTCATGCTCTTCCTTGTTTGTTAAAAGTACATTGTACATTTCCGCCCCACCATCAGAGCTAAAAGTGCACGATTGTCCCATAAGCTTGTCTCCTCTGTATAACTTATTACTTCTATGTAAGGTACCCAATGATAAAAAAAAGCCTTGTGGAATCTTTATTAGCGGACATGTGACTATAGGCCTAGTTTATATTTTAATGCTAAAATTGGCAGAATTCTTGGCTCATATAAATAAAACCACTGTGGGAATTGTCCAACCTACAGTATACATATTCCACATGTGTATATAAGGTTTTTTGTGCATAAATGAATAATAAAACAAGTAGTTTATTTGGATGTTAACTTATTTAAATAGATTATAAGTTCTTCAACCAGTTTTTGGATTTTTTTGTACCGGTACCATATGAATTAACTTAACTTAATATTGAAATTCGGGCACTTCTGCACCCTTTCAGTAGTAAACCATAGTATGAACTAACTTACAGCATTTTTTCTAATTTCACATAGCCTACAAATTAATTAGGCTACAAAATAATTAATTTTAGAATAAGTTCAATGGCATGACAAACATTGATTAATGGATTCAATCAAGTTAAATAGCCTAATAGGTGGAAAAAATGTACAAAACACACAACTTACCCTAGACACAATTTCTGAAGTGTTTGTAAAAAAATAAAAAATAAATCCTATAGGTACTGCTAATGGCTGTAAATTATCTATACATCTGAACACTTCAAAGAATCATTGTGGTATTGTCACACAATGGCACTAACTTACACTATAGCCCTGTGCTAATGTATGTGATAAGTTTAATAATAAAGGTTAAAAGTGTCCTAGGTAGCTAAAATACAAATAGCTGTAGAACTATGAAAATATCCCAAACAAAATGTTAAGATTTTTATTTGAGGTTTTGAAGTATATTTAGGTGAAAACTGTGACTTCTCTGTGTTCTGTAATTTTAATATGCCTTAATTATCAGGACCCCTTTGCCTGATTTAACCAAGTTGAAAGTGGAACTAATAGAAGCTAATTCAATAGTGCTATGATTAAGAATATTGATTATTAGATAGTCTAAAAATAAAACTCTTGATTAATAATAGAAACGTTTGAGATTCCTGCAGCAGGTAACTATCAATAAACCTAGATCATTATCATACTCTATAGAACCTACTTTTATTTAACAACCTAACTTACAACTAGGACCACAGAAAACATACTTTAGTATGTTTTCTGTGCTAGGACTTACTTATATTCAAGTAGAACAAGTCAAACCAAAGGAAAGTCCACCAACAAACGGGAAACTATTGTAATTTTATTTACGTAGGCCTAATGCACAAATGAGAGATTACGATTCCCCTTATCGCACAGTGAAACCAAAACCAGTGTCAATTTTTTTGTCAGTCGTAGAAATATCTAACAGGCACCGCTTTCCGCTAAGTGGCTTAAACCGGGGCGCCGCGCCGTCGCCTGGACTCTGGACTGGACTGACTAACCTAGACTAACTACTAACTAACTACGCACGCAGAAAGGCAGAACTCTAAGCAGAAGAAAAGAAAAAGAACCCTCTACCATAGAATAAATAAACATCAAATAATTAATTTAGTGTTTATTTATTCTGTGATTCTACCATCGCAGTGTCAACAACTACTGTATAAGCTCGATTCTCATTAAGATAATAGCTACCGGTATTTACATTACAAGTGTAGTAAGAGCGTTTTTACATCACGCAGGTGAAAGTTGTGCAACGAGCGAAGCGAGTTGCATAATTTACCTAAGTGATGTAAACACGCTCTTGCGTAACGTGTAACGTAGTGTTGCATTCCACTAGCATTGACTATGGACTATGACTATTTGACTATGGATACTATACGTGGATTTTTCGTCTGTTTTCAAACAAAAGCATATAATACCGTATTGAGCATACTCACTCATGAAAATTAAGCTGTTGAGATCAGCTAAAGAAAAATTAAATGGTATGTTCATTGTGTTTTATGTAGCGGCATTAACTTATTTAGCAGTATCGCCAGTATCACTGATTACAGATAAACCACTATACATTTGGACATATACATTTCGTTTAGTATACATATTGGATACTAAAGTACCATTCTAAGTTCATATAGATTAAACATACTAAGACATTAATGTACCGTAAAGCAGTTGTAGTATCTTAGATTTAGTTCAACCCCAAAAAGGAAGTCAGATTAAACCAGAAGAGGAAGAAAATGAAGAAGATAAAACAAAAGATGAAGAGAATAAGGAAGAAACCTTCTTGAAGACAAGAACAGTAGTTCAATCTCGGCGAGAAGGTGAAGTGTTCGTGCTTTTGGTCTGTATTAAATTCACAACATTTATTATTACCATATGTTACAAATAACAAGATTATTTTACTTGTTGTTGTCAGTTAATTATTACATGATTAAAGTCAAGCTATGTTTTACTTAAGTTGTACTTTTTAATTGTATAAGTGAATATACTTCAAAGAACATGTAAAAATCCCCATGAAAGAGGCAAATTGCGTAGAAAGAGGTAAATCACAAAACAAGTCTCTTTACATTTTACAAATCACATTTAATTGGAAGTCATTTGCTTGTTGGGTAGGCAGAATCCATAAGATTTGAGGATTAAACCAAGGCCATACTAAATACCCCCGCCGCAGCAAACCTGCCGACTAAGCGAATTTCCATTTGTCTGAATTGATTTTCAGTTAAATATATTTTAATAACATTAGGTTTAACGAGTACCTAGGTTTGCTGCTACAAGGAAACTAATAAAGTGTGTTTTTGAGTAAAATATTGATAGCTTAGTACAAAATAAATAAATTTGCCAAGTTTGATCAAAATATATCCATAAACAAGCATACTACAACATTTGACAATATTCTCCATAAGAATAACATGGGAATTTTAAATTTACAATTTTTTTAATTTTCTCCGTTACTAACAATCGAACAAAAATACTTTTATATACTAAATTATTTGTTTTTTAAGCTCTTTAAAAAGGTCTAAAGAGAAATCGGGAAATTTTGTGTTTTGAGGGTCAAAAGTGAGAAAAACTAATTTTTACCCCATAAAACCCCCGTAAAGCCCTGTTCCCATGGTCCGATCGTGCTGGTTCACGAACTCATTCAAGTTTATCCCGCTTTACACCTTTAAACCAAATTTCATCAAAATCGGACAAAAATTACTCAAGTTATCGCGTTCACGGACGTATATATATATATATATATAAGTCTATATATATATATATATATACATGTATAAAAATTTGAACGAATGGTGTTTTTGGCCTCTGGGGACATCAAAATGAAAAATTAAATCGGTCCCGGGTCTAGGTCTTACCGTGCCACCTACGGTAATAGCTACTTCCCTATAGGGAAATTCGCTAAAAAACAGGCCGCAATGACGTAATTTTGCCATTTGTGATCAGCTGCTTGTTTTAATCTTTCAGTGGAAAATAAATAAATAAATACTTATACGTCATAGCCGTCTTCTATCGTGACCTGTTTTTTTTAGTGTGGCCTTGATTAAACTTATACCTATATGGTTTTAATCTATAGCTATTTGATTTATTTTTAGCTTGTGGAATAGAGGAGAAAGCTAAAAGATTCCTATCGCTAATGTGAAATCAATTTTACAATAACCAAGAGCTGGCAGAATACAAACTTTTGCCTTAATGAAACTAGAGCTAGGATATATACTTAGTGGATCTGCAAGCTTTGCCAATTACCTAAACGAACCCAGAGTTCAGAAACGGCAGCCTACCATAAACCGTTTACAAGAAAAAATGTAAAAAAGTTGCACATAAAGTTAACCTGTTGAGAGCAAATCTTTGTTATTCAAAATAACAGTGAAATCTTTCATATGGAAGTTTATAATTGTGGAAATGTATAACAGAATGCGAGAGTTTCTGTTATTTCTAGTTGGTTGTCAGGACCACAACCAAGGGAGTTGAGATATTATGTTTCATTCATACAAATCACACATGGGAGTATTTCAAAGAAAATTTGCTTGACATGTACTCAATGCTAAGACCTGGACCAAACACATATCTCAGAACATGTGCCTGGGACTCATGAATGGAAAGTACCTTTAGTAGTTTCAAAGTATCACATTTTATGCTCCCATATTTCAAAGTCTCTCATAAAAGTCGCCCCAGCTAATTTTATGGTGTAAAACAGTCACTCTAGTTTTACAGCCTGACTATAATTCTTTGGCATACCTTATGAGAAGTGGTAGGCTGCATCTAACTCAACTTGATTTACTGATCATTAAGTCAGTTCTTGTAGCTTAGAGAGTTTTAATTTTTATAGATTTTTACCTCACAATAAATTAAAGATCTAATGGTGTTACTTGAATATAACTTTAAATATTGGTCAGAATTAAGTAATTAAAACTTGGAAGGATTAATCTTCATTTGTAGGCCTAAACGGCAAGTGTAATCGGTTATTACATGTCAGCTTCAAATTATTTACAATTTCAGGCATTTTGCCTATGCTAGGATGTGACATCCTCACTCCTCAGTAGTAAAGCTCAGACTGAATCTGGGTTCAATATTTTAGCTGAAATCATGGGAGGGCATACATAAGATTCTAGTCCATACACTTGATTTGTTTTTATTTTTCAATTTTGTATTAAGTTTTATTAAATAATTCACAATCATAACAAACTAGCTGCTATATAACCGTGCTTCGCAAAAGAGAGGATGCAAATAGAATAATGCAATTATTTTCATCTACTGTATGAATAGTTACTAAGTTACCTACCATAGTTCTTAGAAACAAAACTTAAGTTTGGCAAATAATTCAAGAAGCTAGCTAAGTGTGCACAAAAAAAGACAAAATTATCGAGGGAAGAATAGATTTTTCCGGGTTCTCTTAAGTGTATTCAAAAGAATAACGTGAAAACTTTGGATGCCAGTGAGGAGAGTTTCACAATAAAAATAGGCTTAATATCCATCTGTAGCATATTGGGTTTACTCTTGCAAAGGTTTTAGCTTAATTGGTGCAGTAGTTTTTATGTGATTGACTTTGTGACATACTTACAAACATCCAAACTCTCGTATTTATGATATTAGCAAGATACATCAAAGAGAAGAAAGGTACAGAGGTAGCATTCAATGATAAGTGGTGCCTAGCTCTAGTTGCTGGTGTTTTGGTGTATAGGGCAAAGTCGGACACCACCCCATCGTCCTCATGTACTACAACACTAACGGTGAAGGAAGACCCTGTGCCCTGTGCAATAGGAATTTCTGCACATCTTGCCATTCAAAGGCTCTTGATCCTTGTTTGTCACAAGTATATATCCGGCACGACATACTAGGGCTTAACGTGCACAGTTGTCACATGACCATGTTTTATCTGTACCTTTACTTCTCTGTGGATATATTTAATTATACTGCTAATTGTTTCAACTCCTCTTGAACAACTCAAGTGTTCACAGTCAAAATCGTACCCATTGGTTGTAAAACTGCTCTTTTTGTCTGAGGGATAAGATTCCAGAGGAGTAGAATTCCGGGGACCCTGCGTTAGTATACTTTGAGATGTTATCCAATGCCACAATTAAGACTAAACCACTTATCTTTACTGACTCCTTAAGCTGCGTTTACGAAGCCAGGCAGGCAGGCAGGCTACTTGCCTAAGGTAACGGTAACTTGAAATACATTAGAGGCAGGCCCCATAACCTGCCTGCCCTACTGGCCTTTTGTAAACGCTGCTTTAAGGTAGCCTATGGTTAGTCAATGATGTTACCTTACTTTTAGTACTTAATGTAAAAGGAAACAAACTCAATCCAGACAGCACTTAGTTTTTAGTCAGGCAAAGCATGAATGTGAGGCCCAATTCTGTCTTTACATTCGAAGAAAAACTTCATCAAATCAGTTATATAAGCAGGTGTATTTGGAGTGATAAATGTAGCCATGTCCTCCCTTGTTGATGGTTTGGAATACTTCTTGTTCTGCGGTAGTATATGGGACGCAGGATTAGCAAAATCTTCAATAGAGTATTTCTTCTTGATAAACTCTTTTGTTCTCTTGTAGACACTACTCAAAGGATAAACGGGTCTTGGAGGAACGTCTAGCAATATTCTTATTTTATCCATATCATGAATGTCCAGGAAGTCTTTAGCTCCGCCTCCCAAATATTCTCCTTTTAAAAACACAAATGGGGTGTTACTATTTCCTGTTAATTTTTCTAGTGCGTGAAGTAGTTCAAAACCATCTCTTCTCATATCAAGCTCTACAGCATAGTAGATGTAGTCACAATCATGGAACACACTCTTTGCCTTTTTAGAAAAAGAACAATAAGTTTTTGAAAATATCACTACATTTCTGCTTTGTATTTCTTGTTGGATGAAGTTTAAAATGGTCGGATCACTGTCTGAAACTAAAATAGAAATAGTTTAAAATGACTATGAATAAACATGTCTAAATGTACACAGATGAACTTAAATATTATTGTTTTAATGAGCTTTACAGTTAAAATGGATATAACATTTTTGTATATTTTACTAACTTTAGTACTGTATTTATTTCTGTATATATCCTTTATAGTAGTGAATAAACTGTGATTTGTTGATTACCAAACTTACTATTTTCTATTAAATTTGTATTCTGGGTTTCAGGCTCCATCTTTTTTAGATCTTATAATAATAAATGAATAAGATTAAAACTTTATCTAAAAGTAATATCCACTCAATGACACTCTCTGCAACTAAATTATAAACAAATTCAAACAAGGAAATATGTAAAACTATTTCAGTTCTTTAACTGTAAGTTTAACAAGCTTTATTTATTAAAGCAAGATTTATTTATCAGTAATGTGTGTACAAATTATTAGATAGCTGAACATATATTTGAGATAATAATTACTGTTACCATTTTACTACATGTTAACATTTCCTACATGATATACCTTATTTATAATTTAGACTTTATTCTCACAACACTTGGTGTGCAATTTTCGGTCATGGAATGGTTATACTGGGACAGGTGGCGTCGTCCTGTAATCCAACTACTAGGAGGTCACGAATTGTGGATATTTATAGGCATGCACTGTGGACGCAGTACTATCCTGATAATTAGACCAATTCGTATATACCAAGGCAAAAATGTGGTTCGGATTCCACTATAAACTGAAGGTCCCTTAGTTGCCATTAGCTGTATGGACTATTAATGAAAAGATATTTTTTCATTTCATTAGTCACTAACAAGACTACAAGATCGCGCCACTCATCCTACATTCATCTCCATTCATACTTGGCTTAAAATACCTACTTAGTATGGTCGCCATTTCATAAAAAGTATTAAAGTATTAATAGTTAAATGGGGTCTTAATCTAGCCTTAAACTCTGCTCCACTCTCAAATACCCACTTTTGAAGCTTAACACTCATAAAGTAGATTTTATATTGTTAATCAATCATTATAAACAGCTGTATGGTTATAAAACAGACAAGAGCATATATATTATACAAAACTAACAAAAGTGTACAATCCTACCTTTATTTTTCAATAGTTTTGAAGGTGAAGATTATCATTTTTGAAGCTCTATGTAACAAATACTATCTTCAGAAAGCAGTATTATTTTCGCTTAGTCATGTCACTCACAATAATCAGATTTCAGAAGCTGTTATAGTATTTAGAGGTCTGAGAAGTAATATCTTGAAGTAGAAGATCATGTCGTTTCTCTTACATTTACTGCACTATATACACAGGTTTGTTTTGACAACTCATCTAATAAATCTGTTTTTCATATTCAGCTTTTCTCAATGCATAGTCGGTCTCGTCCGGGTACATTTTTGGCAACACCATGTAAGGTTCGACTCCCAATCTCTCTTCCAACTCTCCACTTTCGTATTGCATTCCTATATATCGACTTCCTGCCACATAGGCCTTCTTGTAAAATATATGCGGAAGTTCTGCATTGTCCGTCATCTTCTCGAGTAGTTTCTCTATTTCTTTTGCATGCGGCTCCTGTCCAAACACATAAGGTTTGAAAGGTTTCTCAAAGCCTTCTAGTACGTCTTGAGCAAAAATGAAAGCTGACCTTTGTATTTTGTCGGTAAATATGACAACTTCATCAGTGTCCAAAGCAGTTTTGACATAGTCTGTGGCGTGGTTTACCTCTAAAATATAAATAAAGTGTTATCAATTATAGTCAATTACCAATAGAACTAGAAGGGTTAAGGCTTGATTACACAGGACTAGGTTACATTTCGGCCAAGTTTCTGTGCGCGAGACTAGATCTGGTTGGGTCTAGGCGAGGGGGTTGGCGGGGGTACTTTTGTGAAAACATTTGTGTCTTGCTACTCACTCACCCCTACCCCCAGCACTGCCAATAGCCGGTACCCGTATCTTTTAGTTTGGCTAGTAGCGACCCATCCACGCGCACAGAAGTTTTGGCTAAACTGTACAAGCAGCCAGCTTTTTCATACACAGCTGATAAACAGGTGCTTGGTTCATAAGAGTTAGTATTACCATTGACTATTGGATACATAAGTAGACATCCCATCTATATGGACCAGTTGTCACTATTTGTTTTTTTAAAGAACATAGTTGTGTGAGCAAGTCACAGAATGCGCTAGGTCCAAACTTCTATTTTGTACCTTATTATTTGGTTGCTGACATAGTTGATGGGTCATTACAGTTGCTATAGCTCACAATAAGTCGTTCCGCCGTTTGACTTGGTGAAACAGTTCTTGTATTCAACAGAAATCAGTAATTTTGATCAGGGCTATCTGTCGGTGGCTCACATCAACTACGATGATTTTGATTTTAAAAAAGTAGCGACAACTTAAACATGGGGATGGAATGTCGAGTTATATATCAATCTTTAAAGTTATTACTGCGGCTAAATTGCCATACTTAAGCTTGATTGCAATTACCGACTGTCATAAGGTAGAAATTCCCAAAAGCATTTAAAACTCAGGAGATATATTTAAACTTAAAAAATTTAACAGTAAAGTTAAAAAAGTCATTGTTTTTGTTGTAGACGATTGGTAAAAAATAAGAATATCATGTCTCAATAATTGTTTTTGTTGTTAAAAGTAAAAATTTGATAACATAAAATTCAGTAGTTTACAATTACTGTATGTAGTTGTAGTTCATCGCTGTAATATGTTTGTTAGGAAAACAAATGTGTACATTAGTCAAACATGAAACCCACCTTGTAGGAAAGGTTCCGCCTCAATGTATGGCATTTTGAAAAAAAATCACAACAAATTTTCAAATTCAGGGGCAAACTTTGAGTAGAAACCAAGCACTGCTTATCACTGGGGTTATCTGTATACAATTAACTATCACAAACTGAAACATCAGGCTTTGGGAGGTTATCATTCTGAAACTTTCCAAAGTATTATTAGCAGTGTGAATTAAAAACTTTGAATGTCACTAGTGTGCAATGCTGTTTAGTTGTTGTTGAGGGTTTCAATTCATTAATGCTAGATTATTGACATCATTTTATAGGTTTCTAATTGATTAGGGTTATAGATATTAGTCCATAACTAAATAAGAAAATTATTTAAATTTGAAAGAATGCCACTTTTATTTTCCTAATAAGTTGGGTTGTAAAAGCATCTAATATTCAATTGTGTTTTGTTGTACCATTGACTATGGATACTGAAGTAGACATCATATGTATATGGACCAGCTGTACTCAGAAAATTGTTTTTTGTTTATCCGAGTTGAATGCTATGATACTCACAAGTTTGATACAGTCTAAAATTCAATTTTCTTCCTTAGTTTTAGCGAATTTCCCATATAGGGAATAAGCTATTACCGTAGGTCTCATGGTAAGACTTGGACCCAGGAAAAATTTACTTTTTCATTTTGATTTCCCTATAGGCCAGAAACACCATCCGTTCAAATTCTTATATAAATTAAATATACAGGGTGAACGACATAACTGTGCCACCATTGGTATCTCAGAAACTATTAGATTAAAGAGAGAACATTAAATGGGGAACTTCAACTAGTTTTTAATTATATTAAAAAATATGAATTCCAATGTTTCAAAAATGGCCGCCAATTTCCAATATGGTGGCCAACTATAAAATTTCTTATGGAACACCCTGTATTTTACGATTGTTTTAGATTCTAACTACAATTTTAAGACTTTTTTACTCCTGGTATGTTCTCTCTAAACCTACTCGTTTAGGAGCTACAGTGTGTTAAACTTTGAAAAATTAGCTCGCCGTGAGGTTATAATCATTATGTCATTAGCTTTTTAGCACATTTATCAAATTGGTTTACTAGTTGTGAGCAAAAAATTCTTTATTCAACTAGGATCTAGTCTAATCATTAAATATGATGAAATAAAAGGATTTAAACAAATTGATAATTAATTGTTCTAACTAAACAATTTATGGTATATACAACAATTTGTTATATTATACAGTTTACATTACAATAAGTAAGTTGAATGAAAGTTATAATCATCACATATTGTCTTTCTTCACTTTCAAAAATTGATACGTTCACAATCATTTAGAAAATTCTTAATATTTCTTTTGTTAGTTTTTCACTTCACGAAAAAGGCACAAATATATTATATATAGAAAACATGGATTAACTTTCATGGAAGTTGCGGATGTTGCCTAGCACTCTAATTTATTGTGGCGTACAATGGCTTTCAAAATTAAAGTTACGTTGAAAAAGTGAATAGGGGATTCTCACTGTTTCTAGAATGAGGTACATCAAATATTGCACAGGTTAGACTGCTAAACTATAAAGTACATATCGGGTTATTGGGAAGATAATGTAACTTGGAATGCCACAAATGCTGGTAAAAGATAATAAATGAGATGTTTAAAAGGCATTCCAAAAATAATTGGTAGAGATTGGACTCGTTTGAAAACTAATGAACCAGAACCGCATCCAATCCTAACAAAGTCTCCAATTCTCCATGAGCATACAGTCTGGATATTATGCGACCACTCGCGTAATATTTTTGTTTGTAGAACACATGAGGAGGAACTGCGTTGTTGGTGATCTTTTCAAGTAGCTGCTCAATGCCTGGCTTGAGATCCTTGTATTCTTCGTCATACAAAATCACAGCCTTCCACTTCACCTCCATGATCTCCATAGCGTGTTTTGTCATCTTATAGGTGTCTCTGAACTTGCTGTCTGTGAAAACCACTAAATCATCTGACTCTAGAGTCTGCTTCATGAACTTTGTCGATGGGGTGTCATCTACAAAAAGCATGATGGTAAAGATAGCATTATGAAGACAGTGACAACTTTCTGGTGTGGTTACCCTTTTAGCACCAGAGGCTGATATATCAGAAACATGAGTAACATACGGAAACTTCCACCTTACAATGGAAAAGGACTTTTACTTCCTAGGGGGTCAAATAGCTACTTTATACCCGCTATGCAACTATTAAAAACAGCTGTTTTTGCTGCAGTTTGTCAGAAAATAAGTTATGGATAATAGTTATGGATTTCTATTATCTTCATAGGGGGTTGGGAGTTGAGTGAGTTGTCAGGCATAGGAAAGGTTTTCAAAAAATTTGAAAAATAAGGGTTAAAATCAAAATGAATGCAGGGTATAGAATGAAGTGATTTTGTATTTTACATAGAACAAGTTTTTGGTAATTGACACATTTTGAGCCCTTGCCAGCAAAAAAACTATAGTCTTACCACTTATACCCAATAGCCACAATCTAGATAATCTTTTATTAAGAATTCTTTCTAGGTGTTCAACAACATTTTCTAATTAAGGAATCAAAAGGTTTCTTTAGTAGGCATATATAAAATAGAATTTGACTCAACAGTGGTTACTGTGTAATCATTAAATAGATTTATCATCGTTGACTTACAAATGTGTGTACAATCATTGACTATGTACAATCCTAAATCAGTAAATTAAATTAGGCCTACTAGTGTTTAGTCATATTTTAATTTTTACAAGGACTATAGATACACACATGAGACTTCCAACAGAACGTACCTTGAAGGAGATGGCTAATTTCAGTTAGAGGATGAAGAGGCATTTTATTGCAATATTTCTTACCGAATGTATATAAAAACTGATTTAAAAGTATGTAAAATGTCCTTCCCCAAACATATTTTGTGGGTAAACTTGCTTTTACTGTCACATGGTTACAAAGTTATGGTGATATCAGTTATCAATGGCTTGTTATCACTATATAGTTATAGCCATAGTTATGTGGGAATATGACATTGAGTGGAAAATATTACTTGTTATCAAATTATGACACAATTTGGATAATCATTAGATAGTATCTGATGTATTTACTATATTGCTGTGCTTTGTAAGGCGTGTATGTGTTTTTTTAATATTTATACCAGTGGCAATTCGTGTGAATGTAACTAAATCATTTTGGCCAAAATGGTTCAAATTTCCGAACAAATACATTTTTTTATTTGGGCAAAAGTTTTTTTATAATGTAGTCAAAACTGGATAGCTTATCTGATACTTAGAAGACTGTTTTTTTCAGCGGTTTTGTTAGTTTGTATGATAGAAAAGGTAATAATATTTATTATATGTGATGATTCCACGAATGTAAATCACATGACGGAATTAACTTATTTCTATCTTAAATTATCTCAAATATCTTAAATCGGGAGTTATAAAATGAATATAAATATAGGGTACATTTATGACAAACCTATAACACATACAAGAGACCATTAATTGGTTCCATAGTCTGTGCACTACACACCTTTTTAGCGCCTTCAGTCTCTAAACGACATCCGCATTACATTAACGACATGCTGTTGTATTTTATATCTGCAGGCACCTACCTTTTCTGCCAACTGACGTTGTTTACTGTATTATTTTTAAGAGGTATAGTAGTGGAAATTTACCCTTGATTCAAAAGAGATGTAGCTCCAATATACTTTGTAGGGTCAATATTTACTAGTTTTGTAAGCGGAGTAGTTGATACATATTGTTCCTTTCTAATGGTAGATGGTATGATCATGTTTTATTTGTAAGCTTTTAAGTAGTTGTTTACGAAAGAAGTGACATTAAGGTTTGTTATGAGAAATTTCTTCGTCGAAATAGCAAGGAGAATGTATTACAAAGTCGGGTTTTACCTTTTTTAGTTCGGGTCTAGTTCTAACTATTTTTTGGTGGGTTTAAAAATGTATTTTATTGGTATTCATTTCACAGTCAAAACGTTTGGGAGAAATATTGAAAATTCGATTTACAACTTAAATCTATGTCAAGGAGGACCAGTGCAGTGTAAAGGCGAATTCAGAATTTCAAAATAAAAAAAAAGATCTAAATGACATAATTTTACAATAAATTACCAAAGAAACATTAAAGCCAAGGCCAAAATACTTAATATAGTAACCTACTAAGTACTACAGTAGTAAACCAAACAATTGTTACTCCAATTAATTCGCTTTCAAGTTAAGTAAGGGTTTGGCTAATATACAGTAGGTCTAGATACTTAAGTACACCGACCGAGCAAAGCTATGGGCAATCTAATGGAATATCAAGGGCATCATGGGGCTATAGTAGTAACTTATGTCAATGTTACTCTTATGATCTGGGGCCCATTTCATAATAAAGTACAAACTAATATTATTAGTAAATCAGCTGATCGCCCAATGCAAATCTAATGGAAATTACAAGTTACAAGTTGTTTGTAACTTGTAGTTTATTATGAAATGGGCCCCTGGAAACAAAACCAAATATACATGAAATTGCTAAAACATTTATACAAGATATTTAAATTATAATCAACAAATTGGTGTTTGAAAAACTATTTTTGGATGATAATAATTAACTCTCCATCAGCTGTTTGAAATTATCCAAGATGACCGCTAGCCTCCAAGGACTCGTAATAACCTCTTGGTAGCCTTTAGTTGTAAAATCAATACTTTTATCATAACTAAATCTATCCAACTCGTTCTTATGAATAAAATATGGCGTCTTACTAAGAAACCAGAAATCACTTCACCTTGCCGCGACTTCAGGGCGCCTCAAAACCGATTAAAAATTCCCCGACCACAAACTAAATAACCCCAACAGGTTGTATGTTGGGAACTTTGACCGGAAATGCTTACGCTCATATTACCATCATATCAGTCATCGGAGTATAGAAAACTGGTTTATTAGTTCACGGGGAACTTTTGCCCTTGGCATTGTATTGTTGGCAAGGCGCAAATATCAGCTGATTGACCTTGAAAGTTCGTTCATCTGTGGTGACGACAGTGATAAGCTTTATTACTTTAGGATGCGCAAAATGGTTTGGATTCGTCTTGTGTTTACATAACACTGTATATTCTGCGTAGAACGATCATGTGTGCAAGGTGTGACCATTAGTTATCTGGCGTTTCAGACCTGGAGTTTTCTATCAAATATGGAGAAGATAGGGTCCATAACAACCTAGGCAACTTGGCAACTAAAATATTCCCTCTTTGTAAACTTAGTGCCTTCAAATTTTCGAATATAATGAGCCAATTCTCTTGTTTAAATGTAATTTTGTATTTCAATTTTGTTGTTAAGAATCTTTAGGTTTAAATATTGCCTGGACATTGGACACCTCACAGAAACTGTTATCAATTAATTGTTAAAGAACTCCTGAACATTTTTATACACTCTTACTTTAGCATGCCCAAGGGCACAGACAATATAGTCTGTTCCCAAGGGTCTTACTACTACCCGTGACAGGGGGTACTTTTGTCGTTTTCCGAAAGTCAAGTGGTTTTTAGTCAGGTACACTTTTCTTCCTCAATTATAATCCAATTTCAATAAAAATTGGTGTGTGTGTTCCTCATATGATAAGGAACAATAATACGAATCAGTTTCCATGACAACCAAAAACCTTTGAAATAAAAAAATATTTTATGTTAAAAAATTACAAAATATTTTATAAAATTTTTAAAATCATACTATCAATTTAATTTTGCTCAACAACTTTTTTTGCTTCATATTATTGTTGGCAATAATGTATTAAACTTAGTACAATAATTTCAAGTTGATAGGTTAATATTTGTAAAAGTTATGTGTACCTAAAAACTGTCATTTTAACATGGGCGGGATAGGGAGCACTGTGTCACCTACAATAGATTAAATAATCGATACATACTTTCAATCAAAATTTACAAAGGAGTTGATAATTCTCTAGGGAGTAAAAATGCTACTTTAGACCCGCAACGCATGCATTAAAAACGACTGTTTTGCTGCAGTATTACGGAAATTTAAATTTAAACTAAGATACATAATTTATACTATTCAAATTGTATAATCGTTTTAAGTCAACAGCTAAGTAAACGGCTCCACACACTGAACCCTTGTACCCACGCGTTTCTGGTTGCATAGGACATGGAGTTATGAAACATTAAATGTAAAATTATAACCTGCTCTCTTGTATTAAAACTAACCTTGCTATATTTTCCTTTACAACTGTTTCCAAATTCAGAACAACAAGAAGGATTAATCACAAACGCATTAACAAGTCAACCACCTGTTATCACCCTCTTATAAGGAGCTCCTTCCTGATAACAGCCAGTTCTCAACAGACCTGAGGATGTTGTCACAGACCTTACTCTGTGTCCTCCTTGTCCCTGCGATACTCTGTGACGGGGACACCTTGCCGCCAGATCTGAAGGCGGCTCCGGAAGCGCGGGAGAACCAGCTGGAGTCTGAGATCCTTCACCACTTCCAACACCTGACCTACGTCGCGGACTTTGTCTGCAGGGAGCCCCAGCCTAGGGTGGTTCCTGTGGAAAAGCTACTGCCCAGCTCTGTAACATGGGGGAAGGCTTACTACCCTGACGTCACTGTCTTGCACCTGTGTGAGAACTCAGGGGCGTGCTCTTCAGGGTGAGTTTCAGAGGAGTTTTTTGTCAATGCTATAGTTCGGCCGCTTAGAAAGTGACCTCCTCCAGCATTGGTTTAGCATTAGCGCGCAGGTCGTTTTCTAAGCGGCCGAACTATAGTAGAATTTTGGAATTGAGATCATCGAAAATGTAGGCAAAAATGTAAAAATCCCTCAAATTTGTATATTTTAGGTATTGAACCTCGAACCTGTAAATCGCGCTGAAATCCAAAACGTTTACCTAAGCAAGAAACACGCCCAAAATCTTTGAATATTTCAGGTTGTTGAGCTACTTGTTGGCCTACCATTGTCTACAATAGCATTTTAAGATAGGGGCGAAACTTAGACACAAAATACGAATGTAGGACATAAAACAGGCCAGCGTAATTAGACACAAAATACGAATGTAGGACATAAAACAGGCCACAGTAAACTTTACACCCTATTTAAAACATAAAGCATAATTTTATATGCTTTATATATATTATATGTTTTATGGTTGTGACACTTAAGTGATAGACACTATTGGAATCTCAAAGATCCATGGGAATACATTATTTTTATTAAGAAAAGAAAACGTTCAACTTTACATACTCACTGTGCCCGCACTCAATTTATTTATCTATTTCTCAACAGTTTACAGTAATTTAGAAAAAAATAAATTACAATGTAGGTTCACAAAATGGCTACACAGATAACTATACCTACGTTTACTTGTATCAGGTTTTGGACAGGTCTCTTCAAGAGTAACCATGATATGTTGTCTTAGTCCAAAGTCCTGCGCCTACAACCCTCTACAATCTACGTGTCTATACTTATACTTATTACTATTGTAGAGGATTTTGAGTGTTTGATTAGCAAATCATACTAGGTTTTATTAATTTTTATTTTCTGTTTATAAGTAAGGCATTTGTAATTTTTTGAATGATTTGCAAATAGTGTTTAATTCACGTTTGAATTTAATTATATATTTTAAGTTGGTATGAATAATTCAACCTAATAACATTTTGCTTGTCTACTCACATAGCTAAATATTTACCCCTACATTACTTACTGTTCGAGTCCCTAATATTAGTTTTTATCTTACAAACTAAAAATCATAAAAACAGGTCCTTTACATTATTTTAAAGATTTCTTTATTGGCGAATGATGTTTTAAACTGAATGATGTACACTTTATATTCCCTCCTTTTAGAGACGGCTTTTGAAATATTTCACTCTTTTTTGTAATGATGTGTAACGTTACTAAACCTTAAATAAATCTAAGTTTATATCGGAATATCCAGATGATTTTCTTTCACTGATAAACTTCCTAGAAATAGTAGTGAGTAATGAAGTTGATTGATTCTGATACACTCGTCGTGGGAATGGGAAAAGCCATCTATGACATTCGTCATCACATTTCTCCCCTAATCTAATGATTGACTTACGATCAAATAACCGTTTCATAGAAGTCCCAAAAAGAACAGCTGTTCTTCGGCCTGTTGCAACAATGAACAACAAAGGACAAATTGAATACTGTAGAAGTAATTTTATTCTGTTTGATTACATAAATATTTCACACTTAAAATATAAGACGGCTTGATCTAAAGGCCAATTGAATTGCTTATGCAGGACTATGTTGGCAAAATTTGACAAATTTTCCTTTACATAACTAATTATTTTTCTACTGTAATCTTCATGGAGTAATCAAAGTCCAAGGTCACAATGCTTCTTCGCTAATTGAGCCTCGAGAAGCCAAAAACAGAGTTCGTTAGAATCGTTATATACACTTACGAATTTCGCCATGTCATATTTTAGTGTGTATATTCATATTAGCACCTTCGCAGAAACAAAATGATATCGAAATCAAATATGACGTTAAATAAATTATACTTTTATCCTCTGGGGGCCTCAACATGTATAGCAATAGCTCCGCACATAGTCTTACTATAACTTTATAATTTAGGGTAACGATTCATATCTGAAAAATTGCGAGAGGTTTGTTTCCCCTACTCTATTTAATTACCTCCCCTCCATATACATTTATACAAGCCACCATAATTAACTTACAATAACACAAAGTTTAACTCTTTAGATGTATGTAAAATGCTATTTAGGTAATGTTTGCTTTTTTAAAAGGTTATGTTATTTGCTTACCGGTTGTTAAATAACGTACTGGATCCGTCCCGCTGTGGTTGGTCTAGAAACGACAACAGTGAAATCAGCTGATAAGCGAGCGGGAATGCATTCCCGCTCTGGAGTGGCAATGATCTATTTTGCCTACTGTTTTCAGGTAAGGTAATGTAATTATTTCCATGCAGTGGTAGGAAATAGTAAAATTGAAGATTTTTAAAGATCTCAGCTGTATGTAAATGGGATATTTTCGAATACAGAGTGAAAAATAATTTCTTCTCCTTTCAGCTGTGAAATCAAACCGAACCGTTTTACCAAGAAGACCATGATGAAATGGCTTACTTCGTGTCGGGAAATTTGATAAACATAATTATTACCATCCTCTTGAAATAGTTATCACCAGTTTTATGCTATTTGACAGGTACCGCTGTGGCCCATCAAACGTCAACTCTGCCCACTTGCCGTTCAAAGTTACCTACCTGGAAGACATTGAGTACCACAAGAAGGGTTCCTTGTCCATGGAGTACCATTTGCTGGAGAACCACACCCACTGTGCCTGTGCCGATAGTTAACACAAGTGTGCTATGTGACAGGTACCGCTGTGGCCCGTCGCACGTCAACTCCGTCCACTTGCCGTTCAAAGTAACCTATCTGGAGGACTTGGAGTACCACAAAATGGGTTCCTGGTCCATTGAGTACCATTTGCTGGAGAACCACACCCACTGTGCCTGTGCCGATTGCTAACACAAGTGTGCTATTTGACAGGTACCGCTGTGGCCCGTCGCACGTCAACTCAGTCAACTTGCCGTTCAAAGTAACCTATCTGGAGGACTTGGAGTACCACAAGAAGGGTTCCTTGTCCATGGAGTACCATCTACTGGAGAACCACACCCACTGTGCCTGTGCCGATAGTTAACACAAGTGTGCTATGTGACAGGTACCGCTGTGGCCCGTCGCACGTCAACTCTGTCCACTTGCCGTTCAAAGTAACCTATCTGGAGGACTTGGAGTACCACAAGAAGGGTTCCTGGTCCATGGAGTTCCATCTGCTGGAGAACCACACCCACTGTGCCTGTGCCGAGGAACCTGCCACTGAGCGACCTAAGCCCATCACCCTGCCTGTCACCCCTCCAAACCCACCCCCTGCTAGACCCAACAACAACAACTACAACCTCAGTTATAACCCCAGTTACAACCCGAGCTACAACAACAACCCATCCCAGATAAGACCTCCTATCCCTCCCCCTCTTAGCAGCCCACCCAATAACAACAACCCTAGAAACCAGGAGAACCAGTAGTAGATTCCAGATTGTTTAAAAAAATAAATAGTATTTTATACGACTTGTGAATTTTTGGCCTGGCGTCATCATAAAATTATACTCAGGACTTAGAGCTACGAGACGTACAGTTATGAAACTGGACTTGTCCATGACTAAAAGAGTAAAAATAAATGGGTGTTTTCCATCCCAAGGCATTGGGTAGAATAGATACCTTTTCAATCTCATTCTCAGTAAAAATTATGTAAAAAAGGTCATTTTAGCGAATTTCCCATATAGGGAATAAGCTATTACCGTAGGTCTCATGGTAAGACCTACCCGACCGGGTAAGACCCGGGACCGATTTACTTTTTCGTTTTGAGGTCCCCAGAGGCCAAAAACACCATCCGTTCAAATTCATATATATATATATATATATATATATATATATTTATATATATATTTATATATGTGTCCGTTAGCGCGATAACTCGAGCAAAATTGATCCGATTTTGATGAAATTTGGTACAAACGTGTAAACCTATATTTATTCGAACGAGTTCGCGAACCAGCATAATCGGACCATGGGATCAGGGGTTTATGGGGGGTTTTAAGGGGTAAAAATGGGTTTTTCTCATTTTTGACCCTAAAAACTTTAAATTTCTAAATTTCTCTCTAGACCATTTTGAAGAGCTTAAAAAAACAAATAATTTAGTATATTTAAGTTTTTTTGAATGTTCATTGACTACGGAGAAAATTAAAGAAATTGTAAATTTAAAATTCCCATGTTATTCTTATGGAGAATAAATAAACTGTTCTATTTTGCTTCTTTATGGATATATTTGAATCAAATTTGGCAATTTGGCTTGTTTCATACTAAGCTATCAATATTTCAATTGAAAAAACACACCTCAACATCTTTCCCGTAGCAGCAAACCTAACTACTCACTAAAATTAATGTTATTTAAATAGGAAATAAATCTGAAAATTTATAGGGAATATTTTAGTAGAAATCAAGCCGGGTGAATGGAAATTCGCTTAGTATGCAGGTTTGCTGCGACGGGGGTATTTTTAATTTGTAAGGTATTTTGAGATAGGAATAGGTCAATATGTTAAATATACGAGCTATCATAATGCCAAATTTCTGTCCAAGCTGACCAGTAGTTAATGTTGATTGAGTCCCAGTCGAACAAACAACCACCCTCATAAACTTCAGCTTAATACACAGTATGATTATCTAATATTCAGCACTCCTACACAAGAGGCAATGCTGTCTGGTGACACTCTAATGCAGAACATGAGGCGTTGCAAATATAACAGGCACTGACAAGTTTACTGTGGAGAAGACTTTCTTGTTTATTTTACCACATGACTTTGTACTTTGCAACATAATATTTTCTTGTTACGTTAATTTCATTATCTTGATTTATGAAAATTTAATTTATAATTTTAAAAGACAGGTTGATGACTTTGGTCACTGACCATTGCTCAAGCGGTGAGGTGAAAAGTCAGGAACAAGCAAGAAATCTTAAAATTTAGAAGAAACGTTTCTATTTAATTTACACTGAACATGACTGGCACTGTTAGTGGAGTAATGTACGACTATCAAAACTAGTTCTTATTTTACTATTGTGGAACTTGTGTTTTAATACTTACCATGTAAAATAGTAGCAGAAACGAGTAAATAATTGCAACGATCGCGAAACTTCTACGAGTGTCGTTAACACTATTTACGCGAGTTGTCTACACTACTTTACCTACGACCGGTTTTTAACTAATAATAATCACCACTCAAAACTTCTAAGAGAGGTTATGTTTTTGTTTATAAGCTGCCATTGCCACTGACATTGATGCAACAACTTATTGTATCAATCACTAATTGCACCAATCGTTTACAATTAAATTAGTAAAAAGCTGATAAGTTGAAGTTCGAAGCATTACAATCTATATATATATAATACGCTAAGCCGATTTTTGTAAACATAACTCCTCCCACATTTTTGGACCGATTTTGATGATTAAAGTGTCAAAAAAATGGCCCTGATCTGTAGTTTTGCAAAGTGTTTTTGGTTTTTAGATATCTTAATTAGTTTGGGCAGGATCTTCCATCAAAGTTGGGTTTTCTCCCTTAAGATTAACATGGGGAAATCTAAATATTTAATTGGAAACTTTGTCTCCACTAATTTGAGAGAACGGCTGGACGTAGAAACTTAGTAGAGGTCTCCAAAGAAAGGCCTTGGTCTGTAGATGAGTTATCAAAAGAAACACGAAGTAAATTCCTTTAGGGCTCTGCCCCAGTAGCCTTTAAAGATACCTCGACAAATTTGTTTACATTTGGCCATGTGGATAATACTGTTTAATGAAACAGCTGTTTTCAATTGTGTTTTAAACAACACACATTTATTGGGAGTTACTTAATTGTCCAAAAGAAGTATTTGCAATGCTATTTTCTGATTTTAAGATATATTTTCTTCTGTATCATGTCATGTTTTGCAATATAACATTCCATTACGAAATCAGTGGAAATTCCTTTTATCACAGAACTCTTACAATAATTTCTTATTGAACTATCTTATATCTGCTGTACGGGTTGGTGTCTGTCCTTTCCCCCACTTTTTCCTATATTTTATCACATTATTCTACAGATCGTCATAGGTTCACGAGATTATTGTTATACATGTTTTCAATCATTGGAAAAATCGTCAATTGTGTAATACAATAAAAATTATACAAGTGCAGAAGGGCACGTTGAGCAGTGTCCATATTTTGCTAAATTAATAGTAGTTTATAGCAACTGGATAAAACATTTTACAATATTTATGTAGAAATATGTGCATGATTTAGAAAGTCATTAAGCTGTAAAACTGCAATTTACTACAGACTTTTCAGAGAGGCTACTTCGATGTTGTTAATTTAGCTTATATTAGTGAAAACATAATATAGATAAGTATACAAATAAGAATTTGAACTCTTAGAGAGACTTTGAATGTTATTAGATTAACGAAATGGGTTGTGCAGGTTTACTAACGCTACTCAGCAACAAAAACAATTAAATTATCTCTAAAAATGTATTCTTAAAGTGCACTGAGCAGCAGCCTCGAAAATACTATGTAACTTACCCATATAGTTACAAAATGCTCAAACTCACATTGTGACATTTATAATTCGGCTTATATTTCTCCAGCAGATTATTTATCCGCAGAAGAAGTTTATTGTGCTCTTATCGTGTGTAACATCCAACACAGAAACCTGGCCTAAAATGGTACCTATCTTGACAAATTATTTGAAGTGGTCTATATTACAGACCGTGGCTCACTTGGTAGATAAAATGATTTAAAATAACACGACATTTTGGCTGTAAAAAAGGCACAAAGAGTAAATACTATTTAAGCAGCTACTGTTATGACAGAAAGGTCATATTCCTTTTAAACTAGATCACACCATCCTTATAAGATACGTTGTTTAACAATTCATGTAAACGTCAATATTTACGTAACAGCCAATTAACAGTATTTATTGCTTTTTGGAAATGCCGCAGTTTTATGTAATTTGAATTATTTGTTGCCAATGAAGCCGCACAACCATATAAACGAGGAGGTACCTAACAGTTCAAGAGTAAAAGCCAACTTCACTTCAAGTATATTCTACTACACCTCACTTTCCGTAGATGAATAATTAGCGTAAGCCTTGACAGTGACCGTCGATTTCGACGGGTTTCACCTAGTTTTACTTATTTTCTCTCAATCCATGAACCTCATTGGTCCGTTACCCGTGTTGTTAAGTAAAACCATTGACTATTGGATACTGAAGTAGACTTCCCATCTATATGGACCAGCTGTATCCAACTTTTTATTAAACAAGAATGTAAATTGTATGAGCCAGTACCAGAATGCGTTAGTGTCTAAAATTCTATATTATACCTTATTTTGTCGTTGCTGACCAGGTTGATGGGTCATACATAACAGTTGCTACAACTCTTCAAAAGTCATTCCCCCCTATATAGAGTTTATATGTGTCCTTGAACACGATAACTTGAGTAATTTTTGTGCGACTTTGATAAAATTTGGTTTAAAGGTGTAAGACGGAAAAACTTGAATGAGTTCGTGAAACAGCATGATCTGACCATGGGAACGAGGTTTTATGGGGGAAAATAGGGTTTCCTCATTTTTGACCTTCAAAACACAAAATTTCCCAATTTCTGTCTAGACTTTTTAGAGAGCTTAAAAAACAAATAATTTAGCATGTTAAAGTGTTTTTGTACGATTATTGATAACGGGGAAAATTTAAAAGTTGGAAATTTAAATGCCTATGTTACATATTATTATGTAGAATAAGTAAACAGTAAACTATTGTAGTTTGCTAGTTTATGGATATATTTTAATCAAACTTGGCAAATATAGTACCGCTAAATAAACCTTAGATTCGTAATTTTAACCTTCGTTTTACAGCCACTTAGGAATCTCACCGACAAAAACTGATTGCATTTTTGGATTCAGCGTGAGAAAAACTGTAAGTAGACATCTAAAAATTACATCATATCATCAGTGTAGACATATTAAATATTTTCCTACTAGGCTATTAATATTTTACTAAAATCACACACTTTATTAGTTTCCTTGTAGCTGCAAACCTAGGTAAGTTACCCGGTAAAGCTAATGTCATTTTAATAGATTTAATTTAAAATCAATCCAGACAATTGGAAATTCGCATAGTCAACAGGTTTTCTGCGGCGGGGGTATTTCAAACACCCTGATGTAGTTTGCCATTTTACCATTTCCATTTTACACATTTCCAATATTCTTCAATAAACCACAGTCTATAACATCATCATGAAGCATTCTTATCCTTTTCAGCAGGGTAAAGCAAAAAACACAATTTAAAAAACCTTAAATTTATTTTGTCTTAGGTTTCAAATTCAACTGTACAAAATTATAAAATACTGGTAATACTTGATGACGTGTTCAGATAGTAATGTACAAAGAGTCTATTTTCTTCTCGTGTTTGGGCTCTAGACGGTGGGCCTCATCGTGGACGGCGAGCTCGTCGCGGAAGTCGCCCTTGATGGAGTGCTCGTCGTGGTGATCGTGGCTGTCGTGGTGATCGTGGCTGTCGTGGTGATCGTGGCTATCGTGGTGCTGGTCGGGACTGTACAGGCCACGGCGGTGGTCGCAATGGCAGACGGTGTGGTTGTCAAAGCTGAAGTATTCCATCTCCCATTCGCCCTAAAAATTACAATTGTGTCAACTTTAACCGCCAAAAGATCAAGGATAAGCTACATAACGAATATATGTGAATTATTTTTTGAAATTGTTTAAAGGTACAACGCATGAAACGGTAAGGACATATTTTGGGTCAGAAATCTGACTATGGAGTTTGGAACTCATAAAACTAGTTAAGTAATGAACGATTATCCTTTGTAAGAACATGAGATGGGATATTTTCGATTCTACAGCTCAGGAGCAGTGTTAGCTTGTATTAGGAGGGTAAATTTGAGTTTGACTAATATTCTACAAACCGTAGACGTTAACAATGTATTTTACCAAATTGTAATTAACTAACACCAGTCACGAGGTAATAGATTTTAATGGTATGTGATGGTAATTAATATATTGAGTTTAGTTGGTGACAAAAGACTATAAGAACACTTGTTTAAGCTGCTGGTCGGGAATACAGTGCACAGCATACACTTTCATAGTTTATATTTTTAGGTATTAATAAAATCATATCCATTACCTATATAATTTTTTTACATTTACAACCGCACAGTTTATTTAGGTCGATTAACTCAACGCCTTAATTTATAATATAAGTTTGAACATTAAGCTATAAATTAAACTACAGATTTACTAGGATTCTACGAACTGTGCAGTGTGTGGGACAAAACTACTCACACAATTCGTGTCATATATACAGCTAAAGAAATATGTTTGGAACATGTTTCGATGGTGTTCTTACACCGAAACATGTCTAGAACAAACATTGTTTTTGAGCTGTCTGGCGAGTATCGTCTAAGTAAGTAATTTAGTCATACATTATGACCAACAGCTCAGGGGTTAAATCATGGATTTTAAATATCTACTGGGGGTATACACTATATACGCACGACAGTGAGGACCTAACACAAAATCCCCTGCACTAAAACCTTAGTGGTGTAAATATTATTGTGGTATTCACCTTGTGGTGGTGGTGCATGTCCTCGAGGTAGGTGACCTTGAAGGGCAGATGTACGACCTCGGCGTGTAGAGGGCTGCACTTCTTTCCTCCCTCGCAGCAACCAGCGAAAGTGTCGCAGCGGTGGAGAATGGTCACCTAGAAACATTCACAGCTTAGACACAGTCAACGGGGGTTTCTATGAAAATAATTTATGAATAAAAATCATTTTTAAAACAAAACGTTTTTAAACGCACTAAAAAGTAGAAAATAATTTATAAATATGTGGAGAGTATAAATACTTGTAAAATTCAAAACGAAAAACGTGGGGTGCATGCAATAGATAATTTACAATTACCTTCACCTATTGAACTAATGTATTATATCTATTGCATTCACTCCACGTTTTTCGTTTTAAATTTTACAAGTATTTATACTCTCTACATATTTATAAATTATTTTCTATTTTTTAGTGTCTTTAAAAACGTTTTGTTTTAAAAATGTTTTTTATTCATAAATTATTTTCTACTTTTTAGTTTTGAATGTGTGTGAATGTTAAATCTATTTCAAGCATCTATATCAGATTAAGACAGAGGCATGTGGGAAATCTAAGGTTTCTTTTCTTTTCATATAATTAGGTATTGGATTGAATTTATGGTCTAACTACTAACTATAAAATTATGAAGATATAAAATTTATTGTTTACTTTATAAAATACTAAATAAATAACAATACTGAATAAGAATAGCCTGCTCAATACTAATCTGTTTTGTGACAAGACTTAATTGACTGTATACTTAAAATTCCTAAAACAGGGAAATACCTGGCGTGACGACTATTGACTATTTCTGTCTAAAATGTCGTATGTCTAATGTTCTGACGTATAGTGGTTAAGCTTTAAATATTAAATATATTATTGAACTTTCGACGTATTGAATTTAGGCAATATAAAGAATACGGTGATAATGCCATTTATCCACTAGTTAAAATTTAAGTTGTCTACAACATTTTAACAGAGATTTAAATTTTGTCTGTACCAAATTGTAATTTTGATGTTTTAAAAACAGATTTTGGAATTAGATTGACTTTTCAAGTAAAAATTAAACATTCAGAATTTATTTCTAAAAAAAACCCACCTTAAACTATAGTCAAAGTTTAATTTGATACATTCTATTGTAGTTAAGATTGTAAACCTACTAATGAAGTATTATTATTATTTTACAAGATAATTTTACTAAAAACAAAAAATTATTAATAATGGTGTATAAATGAATATTTACCAACATAGACTACGAATAATAATTTATTTATTATCAAAATTGTTTATTATGAATTATAAATTCCATGGTAGATTTATTTGTTAGCCAGTAAAATATTGTAGGTTATAACAAATTATTATCTTTTATGAACATACGCTGTAACTGCTTTAAAACTAAGCGTTACTATTTCAGTTGATAATGATTAAAGCACGCTGGTTTTTCCATAAATGAAAATTATTTCATATTTGTCATCGTTGCTGACCATAATTAAAAGTTTCTCTATGGACATAAAAATAGTTTATAGAATTGTAATGAGCTAGTACAATACTAAAGATTGCAAGGGAAAGACATTTTACATAGTCAACTTTGTACTGACGTGTACACCAAGATATGTCTCAATATTTTGCACGTAAATATCTAAACCAAAACCAAAACCAAAACTACCAAACTATGAATAAAATTAATAATAAACTGCCAAATATTGGCAATAATCTAAGAAAGTGTTACAACGGTAATGTTCAAACAGTCTGTTTACATGTAATTACGTGTTAGTTCAGGTTGGACCACTCTTATATCAAAGTTCACCTAGCGAACTAATAAACATTAAAAACCGTGGATACAAAACAAATATTATTGTTGATCTATTTTAAATGATAAGTTGTATATCAAACCATCAATATTTAATCAACAGCATTATAAATAATATTATTAGGCTCGTATGCACAGTAAAAAATAATTTGAGACAATAATTTAGCATAACTTTAAAATATTTTTGTACTCCAACAATTTAAACGTAGTGGCGTTTCCTTGTGAGCTTCTCAACTGAAATAATCTAGTTTGTATTTAAATTGTGATTGAAATACCCTACATAGTAATATAAATAAAAAAAATAATTAAACGTAAGCCTACATTGTAGTTTAATGGACGTTTTGTTGTATAAGTAACGTTTGAAAATAAATTACTGTAGTTTTTAAGCGATAAAAACACTATTTGGTAAATTATTTTTAATAATGTTCACACTTTAAAGTTTCAACTAGCGAATGCACTTTACATACCTCAGGGAAGTAGGCCTTTCCTCGGGTCTGGTACGGTGAGAGTAGTTCATGTACAGGGACAGACCTAGCTTGGGGATGATGACAGGAGTATTCTGTGATGTAGGACAGATGTTGGTAATGTTCCCTGAGCTCCTTCTGGTGCCGAGACTCCTCCACCGGCGAGGCGGAGGCGAGGGCGAGTACCAGGAGACACGCGACAGATGAGGTCCAAGTCATGGTGGAAGTGCTACTGACGACTGGCCGGACTGAGAGGGTAGGGGGTTATATAGGACAACCTCGGGGGAATCCTAGAGTGCGTCAGTGAACTATTTGTTGCTCTACAAGATCGCGGAAATACCGTACAAGGGTCAACGCTTATCAGCTGACTTGTGCCATGGGTTATCAAACCTTGGATTGTTACGAATTTGATTTGGGAAATATCGAATTTTGCAAACGAACATAGTTAAAATATTTTAGATATTAAAGTTTTGGTGCTACCAAAAATACAACTTTGTAGGTTTCTAATAAAAACTTCAACATAATAACACACGTAATCATGAACGATTTTAAACGGATTCATATTAACAAAGATTTATTCATATGAACAAGTAACGCTGGATCACATGTATAATAAAGTATTCATCAATGTTTGCTTTTGAGGTCGTTCTCGCTATAATGTTTAAGCGGGTTTTGCTCAACATGACTCATTATTGAGTTGGAAAACACGGTATTATTTTTACTTTCTTTAATTTTGCTTATTTTAGCACAGCTTTTTCGTAAGTTTAGGCATATATTATTGTATCCGAGTTTGACTAACATTTCGATTATAAGCTTAACCGCTGGGTTTCCGGAATAGAGCCAATGTTATGCATGTGATGTAAATTCTATTCAGTTAAACCTTGTCCATATTATTTTTATTGATAGGTTACAGGGACTTATTATTTATTTAACTATGAAAGATGGTATAATTCATGAATATACTGTCTAAAACGTATCTACATAATATGAATAACATATCTCAAGCTTCTAGCTAATTCAAGAGCAAAATCAGGCTGGATTCTATTGTTTTGATCTATGATTTCAAATTTGTATTATTTTAATAAAACTGAGCAACTAGTTTTACCAAACAGAAACTCTCTATTTCATATCATTATAGAAGACGATACTCCAGGACAATCTTATTCACTATATAATAATTTGGAACACAACCCAAACGTTCATGCCAGGTATTGTGCCAACTATAATAATTGTTTGTCCATTAGATAAGCACTAAAGCAGCATATTTATTTCATTGACACATAATCGCTTTGGTCAAAAATGTGTTGAATGTTTACTCAAGAGACGTTTTCCGCGTTGACTTTATATGCAAATAGCCCTTGGCCCGGGGACAAAGATCGTGAGGCAAAAGCAAAACAAAGAACAATAAGGAAGAATAATAAACATTTCCAAGTCAGAATCAGGATAAACAATCAAAATTAAGTGAGATTCTCGTTTGAACAAAGAAATTTAATTTTTTCCCATTTTATATCATTAGTCTATTTAAAAAAAATGTATATCGCTATGCCTACCGATAATCCGATTTCCATGAAACTTAGGAAATATTCTCTATGAATCTTTAACAAATCTTTACATAATTTAATTTTTAACAAGCTGCTGTTTTTATTTTTAGCGAGCTAGTTATTATAAAGTGTTATAAAAGATTGATATCAGTAAACGAGCAAACGAAGTTTTAAGATCTGTAGTTAAAAAAACATAAGCCTATTACATCAACTTATAATTGTTGTGAATGTGCTTTAGACAAATAACAGTTTTTAATACTTAAAAAATAATTATTTAATATGTATTGTATGTAAATTTTAAATATGATTAATGCATTTGATTTTTTCTTTAAAATATACTATTTAATAGGCCTATATCAAAATTACAAACCAAAAACATATTTAAAAAAATTTAATATTGATTTTGGCCGTTTAGGCTACTGAAAATTAATTTAATATATATTTAATAGCTAATTATTTTATATGTTAACCATATTTATTTATATTTAATAACACTTAAATATATATATTTCATATGTATTAAATAAATAATAGTTACAGTATTTTAATCACGCATCAGCTTCACTTATACAAACTAAAGGCAGACATCCTCAGACATTCTTTCATATCAATGCTTCACGGAAAATCTAAAATTCTGAACTTTATTTTGATGTGCCTTATGCCAAAATTATTTCGATAACAGGACCTAAGCGATGACCACAAATTAGACTGTATCACTTTAATAATATAACAGATTGTTTTAAAACTCATTTTAAATGTAAATTCTGCCAGACATCTGATGGGGAAGGTTTTGTATGAAGAAGAGTTGTAACTGAGTAACGTCGCGAATATTAAAACAGAGAAGGTATGGATCAGCAAATACGATATGGATCAATCAATGTATAATACTCTTATTATACATCGATTTACTATCATAAATTGATGTATGGATCATAAACATCAACAAGTACATCGTCACTGACCCGAATGTTTAAGGCAGACCCACCCATACACATACTTTTACGTGAGTACGTTTTCCCCTAGAAACGCGAAATAGAATCATTCCCCCCTAAATCACATACGAAAAATCCATAAAAAAATACTTAGAACATGATCAAAGCACAGGGTGTTCCAAAAATGAAGGTCTCGAATCTCGAAATTTCCTTATGTTAACCTATTACCCATTGTTCATTTTCAGAAAGGTCTTAATATTAGAGTAACATTTTGGCCAAAAAAGAACGCAATTATGTCAATTCGTTTAAAAATGACGGCCAATTTTGTGAATTTTTCGCATATTTACGTAATATTCTGTATTTTCTATATCGCTTAGCATTTTTCCGTTCTGATTGAAAATTTGTGTTGGTTATAGAAAATCGATCTGTTTTAAAATGAGTTGAGGTAACTGCGTTCTGGTCTCACTGAAATTTTGCTCTAAGCAAGACCAGTCTAAAAATGTACAATAGGATATAGGTTAACATAAGGAAATTTCAACATTCGAACCAGTGACTTTCTTTTTTTATGAACACCATGTGCTTGAATCAAGTTCAAAGTATTTTAAATGGATTCTTCGTATGTGATTTAGGAGGGAATAATTCTATTTCGCATCTAGGTGAAAACGTACTCCCGCAAAAATATACGAGTTGTCTGCTGCACCCTGTATAGCCGTTGGGATGTTTTTTGACAGTTCCATTGAAAAAGTAATAAAAACCAGTGACGGAATTCGTGTATGTTTATGATACGTACCGTTTATTTTTTAATAACCGTGAGTACAGTCCGTCAAATATGATACTGAAAGAATATGTTGATAGATAATTTTTTTTTAATTATGAATTTATTCCACCACATATATAAAATTACACAACCAAATGTACAAAAGAAAAAAAGGTTTTATGCAAAACTAAACTAATTAACTATAACTAATTAACTATATACATGTGTAAAAGGTTGTTCCTATCTAATTAGTCCTGGAATTAGCAGACATAGGCTGTGCCTGTGCGTCTGCTAAGTTGCTAGAAAGATTGAATGAAGTTAAGTGGTGCAATAATGAATGGTTATTAATTAATTACGAAACATTTCTGTAAACTCATATAAATGCTGCGGAACTATTTGGTCAACAATATTCAATAAATATACTAATTATTCATTGGGTCAGTCAAAAAGCAGTTCAACAAATTCCCATAACTGCAATACATTCACGAATTTCAGGAAGTGCCCTTTCAAAATCACACAGGAAAGTGCAAATGTACTCAATAATGGCTGGGGTGAATCACCTGATTATGACGTCACTGGGACAGTGGTGACGACAAGGAAAATCTAGACCGGTTAGAAATCAGGTGTAAATTGGACTCAATTAGTCTGGAGGAGCAGCGGAAGGACATGTGGAGACAAGAGGGTTTTCCTGCGACGAAGCCTCTAGAAACCAGTATCTACCGGAGTGGAATGTGTATGTAAACCTGTACTCATGAACCACTGCCAACATGATACAACACACGAACCACTGCCAACATGATACAACACGTGAGCTCCGAGCAAGTCCAAGGTCTAGGAGGCGGTGGTAAACAACAATGATTCAAGGGTTATGCATGGTACATACGAAGTGGTTAGGAAATTTTCCTATTTAGCATCCTATTTTATGTGGTGGAAATACTTAATTAATAATTTCTACGATGGGTTACCAACCAAGATGGAATTGTTATGTTTTAATTACGAAACAGTACACTTTACATGCTTAAACTGTTTGCTACTTAGTAGTTATCTCATTTATGTTGACCAATTGCAGCTAAATATTTATCAAAATAACTAATGTATGATTATTTAATCACTAGGGTATTGAATATTGACATGAATACAATAAGCATAAGCTACAACCAATTAAATCAATAGATTCGTTATTTGTGTAACAACTGGGTGAATTTTCACTCGTGTTTCGTGTTACACATTATATTTTTCCTACAGTTATTATAAACCATAGACATAAAATATTCTGTAGTTCAAAATAAATGTCCTTTTACTGTGGCTTCGTCGTAATCCACAGAAATCATTAATCATAAATTAAATTAATGGAATGTATAGTTCTATTCATTGTCAAAATCAAAACTTAATTATAACCTTCAACAATAAATAATTTTATAAAATTGCAAAGCTTATAAAATAATGTAATCTTATCAGTCACACAAATAGGTTTGATGTGATACAAAAAGCATGAACTTGATGACAACTGTTGTTGCTAAAAAAAATATCAAAAGTGTTATTTTTCTCAATTGATCAATACTCTACAGTATCATAAACAAAGTTTTTAGTTTCAAGTACGTATCAAAGTTAAATAAAATTATTGATTGCAAATGTTTAAAACCACATAACTTAAAAAAAGTTAAGTGACACAAAAACAACCTTCATATCATAAAAAAAGGAAAAGAACAAACACTATTTAGCGGGGGGATTTGTTATTGTTAAGCTGTTAATTATTGTAGTACTCACAAAGAAAGATGAAACCCAGCCCTTTAAAACGTGTGACTATTTAATCCTTGATTGGTTGTTTCAAGACATTATTAGAAAATATAGCCCTGCAAATGCAAAGGGGTTAAATGGACATTCACATGGCCTTACAACTCCGTAAACTTTTCACTAGAAAAATAAATATAAATGAGTATAAGTATTTAGTTTATTTTTTTACTGTATTAAGGAAACATAAAACAGAGCAAACGACAACGATTCAATTACTCACAAAGATAGAAATCAA